GAGCGTCATACCTTCTAAATAAGAGCGGCCCTCCTGGTCTCTCTTCAGTCGTATTATTTAAAACGGTTAAAGTACTTGTTGAGCAATTCGAGTCATTCTCCTCGGAAGGTGACACAATCGGTGTTTCGTCATTAATGAGAGCACCCAATGGGTCATTTTCCGTGACTGGTGTGCGTATGGGACTTTTTAATGGTGATTCAACACTGCGCGTTAGCCTACATAGAAAATATTACATCTACATAAGCCTGTACATGCAAAAAATTAGCACTGTAGAGTTCAATACGAGACGCATATTAATTATTGCGTAGAGAGAGAAAGAGATTCTCTGTGATACGATAATGGACGAAAAATAATGTCTACACGATGAATACTCGCTTGCATCGGCTACGGTAACACACTAGTGAAACAATAATGACTTAATCTAAAGAACAAGCGTTCTCAGCGACTTAGGCGAACTTGAGGGCTTGAGAGCGACACTAACTAATCCTAACAGTGAACATGAAGTATACCTTGGATTATTGGGCACCGTATCCAATTCGTCCGTTTGCAACATGCTTAACGTAGCTTGATCTTTAACTATGCTATTCTGCCGGAGAAGCTTAGCTTTCAGTTCGAACGATCCGAATCCAGGCAGATCAGACACAGAACTGCCTTTTGTGGCTGCCGAAAGAGAAAGTTTATTACTTTTGAGAAAAGTGTGTTGCGACTTGGCAGCGATATCGTGCACGCGAAACTCAACTCACAATCGCTATGCGCGGCTTCAGTATCCTGAGAGTGAGAACTGTCGAGACTAGACCGGGATAGTGCATGCTCCATGCCATCAGTCTTATCAGCAGTCAGAAAATCTACATTAGAACTCAATCGCCTTCTGGCGCTCTTCTTGCCAGCCTTCTTAAACAAAGCCGCTCCAACGATGACGTTTCGCAACTTGTTCCACATCAGCTGACTCGAGTTCGTCATGTCTGAAGGCCATGTTGCTTCAAGAACAGCCTGCGAAAGCGAGATGGACATTGCAACCTCTGACACGAATCCTGCGCGAGTCTATACTTTCTCAAAAGATTGCGTTACTTATTAATTCAAGTGAGCGCTCACCTTGTTGTAAAATCCGTACGTTAAAGCGTTAGGCTGGACACCGCTACGTTTCATATGAAATAATAATTTTACAGCTAAAACTGGCTGCCCGTACACGCCACAAAGTTGCATCATAGCTCTATAGCACACCTGAAATAATGAAGCTCAAATTCGTTGGTTTTCTTCACATATATAACGATTTAGCGCGTGTGTCCACTGATGCTCGGTTCATACCTCTTCCATAGGATCGAGACGTAACTTTTGCATCTTGACCAACAGTTCGTAAGCCTGATGTAGAATCGCAGCAGGTTGGCTAGAGACTTGCAACATAGCTGGCAAATGCAGAAACCAAAGACTATAACACGTACCCAACAAACATTTGCCCCATCTGTCAGGCATAGCAGCCTGAACAAGAACAAGATTTACGTATATAGAATTCGTCGTGTAAAAAGTTTCATACACTTTATCGGAGAGTGAATAACTTCATTTACCTGTTTTCGGGCCATCCTTTGAGCAACTTTGATTTCATGCTTTGTTCTACGAGCCATAGGACTCCCAGGTACCATACCGAAGGCACTTAAAGATGGATTCTTCAAACAGAAGTTCTTCTGAGGCCTCATTAAATCCGGATTCAACTTGAACGATTTGTATATTATTGGTGGTTCATTTGTCCCTGCTTCAGGTGGTGGTATAAATACTGTACGTTCGCTGTGTTGAGATTCATCTAGTTCCAAAAGAGTTACTAAGGATCAAACAAAAAAATAAAAATTATTATATGACATATCACACATATTTATACATATGTTTAGATGGAATAATGTAAAAATATTTTCTTTTTTTTTATTGTGTAAAAATAAGAAACAGAATGTGTAAAAATGTAAAAAGTAAGAAAGATGCAAGTTATACGAACAAAAAAATAAGGTTTACGATATAGAAAAATATCTAACAATTCATACCATTCTCTTCCTCGACTCGTTCTGTACACTCATCGAAAAATGCTAACCCTGCCATGTCCATATCGGATACGAAACTCCTCTCTTCTATGAATCTGCAAAATTTGAGTATTTTTATTAAAACAGAATTTAGGATTTTAGTAAAAAAAGTTGAGAGAATAATACAAACTAATTTACCTAATAAACATTTGAGTTCTGACGAGCATACTGTAAAACTTGGCATGAGCTTTATCGCGACTTCTCAAAAACGCTTGTATATTAAATAAACTTGTTGGATCAGTCGTCCCTACGGTAGGTGCCTTTGTGATTGGCAACAAATAGCTTCGATATCCTTTGAGAATCGTCGCCATGAATCTCAAGAAAGCATCCTGTATCTCGAGTTCTAAAGCTTGCTCTTTTCGTTTCTGATGAAACTCTCTGTCTACACTAAAGTCCTCATCTCCTCTGTCTGATATTGCAACAAAAAGAGATGTTAATTTTGAGAAAAATAAAAAAAAAATAGGGATGCAGCAGGGGACCAAACTAATAATAGCATACCTTTCTGAGAACAGTTAGTTTTTCCCCATAAAATAATCTTTGAAGATAAAAGCTCCAGCCAATTTCTAAGTTGTCTAGCTGCTTTTTTAGGTAGTAGTTTCACGTTCAAATATTTTTTGTCGTCGCATATCGCTATGTTGTTCGTGTCTAGATTTACACAGTTGACGTCAGAGGGGAGTTCGAATAAATCGAAGAACCTTGAATCCACACCAATCAGGAATGGTAACGGCGCATGCAACACCTGTAATTTTCAACGTTAGCGGCAAATGTCTCCCACTTTTTTGTGCGCTTGCACGGCTACTAAAGAGCATAAAAACTATGCGTCAGTCACGTCGGTATGCGTTACCTCCGCTAATCCCAGAGGACATAACGGTATATAAGGACACTGCCACTTAAAAGGAAACAGGATCATGGCGATAGCTTCGCTGACTGAAGTAAGTACATCCGGGCGCAGGGAGTGGACCAGAATCTTCTGCTCGGTTAATATCAGTAGCAGTATCAGCAGGCAATTGTCGGGTCCCAAGTTCACCAATAATTGCCGGAAACTCGCGCCCGATCTAGGCAAAGCCAGATCTTCCGGTTGCGTCAAGATCAGTCGATCCTGGCTGCTGAGCTGCACCAAAATTCTTGGCCGTTGTGGGCTCGGGAACGGTATGTCGCATAGAAAATACGAGATGTACTTCTCGATCGGGACGTTTTGCGGCTTGTCGTTAACCATGCCGTGTAGGAAAACCAAGAACCTCTCGAACGTGTCGAAAAACGGCCAGTGCGACAGTATACATATGGACTTGCTGATATTCAACGACTGACTCGCGGGATCCGTGTACTGCAGCTTCTCGAACTGCGGTATAGTGAGTTTCTTGAGTATACCCGCCTTCTTGAACATCTTCATCTTTACCTGTGGCTTATTCTTAGTTATTTCTATATTATCTGCTGAAATAAAACAGGGATATATGTCATAGCAGAATAATTATGAAATACTCTATTTGATGTATATACCGGGTGTTCATTATAACGATATACATTTTTTTTACCACTTTTATCAATAATCGGGTAGGAAAAAATTCTAGATTCAATTGCATCTAGAACTTACCTGTCCGATTACTATAACTAATAAGGATATAATGGATACCATTACAATGAACACTCTGTATAATCAAAAACAAGAAAGAATTAAAGCTACGAAATTAGGATTATAAAATATATTTGTACCACTGTTTTTGTTGTTCTCGTCGACCGTGTCCATAATCTCCTGATTGTCTTTGCAGTTTGGAATGTCCGATTCCAGCTGTAGCTCCTCATAGAACGTTATTGCTGAGCCGTATATCTTTTGAGCAGCATCGGCGACCGTCAGTACAAACGTCGAGAATACTGGCTTAGGTTTGCACGCCACTTTAGGCCAACATTCTATAGTCGCGCCCATCGGCAGACAGAACATGGCAACAGAATTCGGAAAGACGAAGCCATTGTAATCGGCCGTGGGATATTTGTAGAGTATTGCTGGCTTGAACGACACCAGATTGGCGCGGTTCATGGATTTCTTGTAGCACAAAAACACATCGCTGCCGAGCATTCCCTTGTTCAGATTCTTGTTGATCACGCAGAATGCATGCGGCGGACTCTCCCCTTTGTTCGTCAAGATGACGCATATGTCCGTGACGACCAGGGAATTGCAAGGCATCTTCCGACTCGCTCGTCTATACGTTACAAAAATTTTCGACGTAGAATTATTTACGTTCGCCACGTGACCTTTTGGGGTTTCCAACACCATCTCGGCATCCTGCATTATACGCTCCTTCCCATCGTATATCACACCTGAAAGTATCATTTGAATTAGTGATCATTAATGATTTAGCTATCATCTGCATTAAGATAGCTAATGTTTATAATCTCTAAATGTCTAATATCTCTTAATGGTTTCTTCTCAACATAAAACTCTTGATAATTAACAACCTATTTTTATGAGACTCAAATGACAAGTTCTTGAAAAAAATATCTAAAAATACAAGAAAAAGAATTTATATATTTCTTTTAGTTTCATTCAATGTAAATTAAAAATCTCAAATGTACAGTTGTAGACCTAACACCTTTAAACTTTATAAGAAATTATAAACCCATAATTTCGACTCTGATAGCTTGTTCACTTCGATAGTTTTCTAATGTTGATTCTTGATTTATTCACTTTTCCCCACTTACCAATATCAACTAAAGGAGGCTTGTCCCGACCTCTTCTGTAACACAGGTAACACTCGTTTGTTCGCAAGCTCCCATGATTCAAGTCAGCCGGGAAACCCGACACAGTTTGTTCTAGCAGCGTATAACCTTCAGGACAGTGTTCTCCCAGCACAGGGAATATTACGGCAAGATCCGTGATGGGAGGTGCGGTTTGCGTGTCTGCCTTGAGATGTGTACCCTCCTGACACCAGTCCTTCAGCTCACCGTTGCTCTCATTGTCATTCTCATTGTCCTGACTGGGATAGTCGTCTTGGCCAGGCAGACCGGCGACAACAAAATAATCTGCCACTCTTCTCTCATCCATCTTTGTCAGGAATTGTACAAATCACCTCCAGAACATCCAACAAACCTTCCTCTAATCAGGCTTTCTTCTCAAAGTATCTCATCGCAGATACAACAATATTATTTTCAGCTGACAGCTCTGATATTTATGTACATGGCGCTAAACTAATTGTTCCTGAAGCTCCAACCTGTAGCCACGGTGTAGCACTATGATACAGCTATGTGTGCTCTTTTGTGTGAGCTTGACTGGCAAGTTACAAGAAGTATACTTCCTCGTGCACCGCAACAAGCTGGTCAGCTAACTTTTTCTTTCTCTCTTTGTTTGCCTACACAACAGCCTTAAACATAATAATATTACATACGAAACATCACGATCCTCTGAGCCAGCTATCCTTCTTACAGCTCTACAATCTTACAAAAATATCTCAGCGATCCTCTGCTACGCGTGTCCACCGCGACGTTGAAGTATTCGTTTTACGACAGGCTCACTGAGTTATTGCTTGATCCAAATTGCGGCGTGAAGCACGTCGGTGCAGTCGCGCAGGACGGCCTTGATTTCTAGCGAATGCAATCTTACACAATGTGACGTATCATCCGATTGCCACTGAACGCCGAGGACGAGGGTGGTTATCGTACAACTCGTGGATTATCGTTCGTCCTCGCTCGGAGTGGAGTCGCGTGTAGTTCTTCGCGCGTCGTGTGCGTCGTCGTGCATCGCCAACGTGGTCCGCGGACTTCTGTGGAGAACGAGTCGCGCGTTCGATCGTCGACGGTGAGATCTTCGAATGTGTGTGTGTGTGTGTTGTGTGTATGTGTGTGTATACGTGTGTGCGTGTGGACAGCGAATGAGTGTGTACCGTCCGATGCTTCCTCGCGGTCGTCACCGGCGTGACTTCGCTGGTGTCTTCGGAGAGATAAGACGTTATTATTCACTCGGGAGGTACCGCCGTGTATGTCGAGATCGTGGCGCGTCGCCGCCGGCCGTGGTCGCGCTCGCGTTCCTCCGACACACACACAGACGACGCGCGAACACGAGGCGCATAATCAGCTGTCGACTCGCGACGGACTCACCGCTGACGCGATCCACCGCAATCGAGCAGGAGACCGTGGTTCCTGCCTCAGAACCAAGTCATAGGTTAGACGTCACACGCGCGACCAACAGTCACACAAGGGCGCTCTCGACGATATCGTCATCGCACGTTGCATGGCCGGCGAGATGAACACAAGAGCCGTTCCGCGGCGAACGCAGCAGGTCGCGCGACACGAAGAGGAGAATCCGAGTCGTCGCTTCCGCGCTGACCGCCTGCGGAATTGCGTTGTTGTTTTGCCGTGTCACAAATCGCGTCGGGAGAATTCGCGTGTAGTGTCTCTCTCTCTCTCTCAAATGGCCTTAGTCGCCACAGGCGGCAAAATGGCCGATGACAGTGGCGCGGCGCGGCGCGCGACCTCGAGCTCGGTTCAAGAACGTTCGCGCGCCTCGATCCGAAATAAGAGCGCCGGTTCACGCGCTGCTCCGCAAAACCAGTAGTGACGTCGGAGTTTGTTGTTTGCGCACTTTTCTTTTTTATTCCTTCGAAAAAACTGCAACGCTTGGCGAAATCTCGAGAACAAGTAGGTGTAGCGCGCGGAGGACAAGTAGGTGTGCATGATAAATAAGCGCGACGCGAGAATCGAGTGTTTTTTTTTGTCACGAATTCTCTTTGTTCGACAACAGATAGTGCGTATTAATAGCACACGTCGGAGAGATGATGCAAGCAGCGATTATTTTATATTGTTACTGTTATTTAATTCTACTCTTACATAGAAAAGGATATAAATGTTTTCATTGTGTGATCTTCTAACAATAAATTTTCAAGGTTAATTTCTTACTTTCTAATAACAGGAGAAAAGGAGGGCAACAAATTTGGCGGTTTTTGACTCATTTTATTAACAACTTAATATATAAAAGAGTTTAACACATACCTATTTTCTTCACTTCTCACATTCTTTTTTAGTTGGACGAAATGACTTGAAAATGGTTTTCACGAGACATTGTTCCAACAAGGGGCATATATCCTTGTGAGCTATGCTCAAGAGACTCATGGAATGTACAATGGTATCTGTATCGAAACTTCCCACTACAAACATTTCAGCGATCTGACTGTGCTGTGGAAGGGCTGCTTGTACTATAATTCCATGATCACTTTTGCCTGGTACAGACCTGGAATTACAGAAACTTTCTTCTGTGTCTGTTGGATCTACCAAATATATACCATCACATACACCCTGTTGAATAATTAAAATTTGTTATTACAGGTTATATTTTATTTGTCGACACCTGTAATTTGCATTACTACTCACAATAGTGGATGCTGTGACCAAACCATACATTGGTACACCTGCATTTGCTAAAGCTAGACTAGCAGCCATTATTGCAGCAGCGAGTGCTGATCCACCGTTGTCTAGGACTGTCGCGTAGATGTCCACTTGGAAATTAGGAAACTCGTTCTGAAATATAATTATGTACATGTATTTTATGTCTTTCAAAAATATCCAAGAACCTTTGAAGAGAAAGTCACAAAGTACATACTAAACACACTGCTGGTTCCAGAGCTCGCTGCAGTACTAAACTGTACTCTTTCTCCTCAGCATCCTGCTGATGCATTTTTCGTTTGCGATGGGAGAAAGGTGCAAATTTGAATTCGCAGTACAATTCACCTTGCACACAATAGCCAACTTTATTAGGCACTTCTCTGGGATCAAAAACCGAGCAGATGACCTTTGTATTGCCCATCTCGATGTAGGCAGAGCCTTTGGCTTGACTAACGATACCTGTCCTTAAAACTGCCGAGAAAATTTCATAAACATTTTTTTCTCTAAAGACATAAGGGGTCTGTTTTTCTTTAAAGACATAAGGGGTTTTCTGTTCCTACACTGCTGAACTGATGCAATAAGTTAGAGCGAGACAAGTATATTTTTTCTCGCTCTAATTGTATCATTTAAGCAGTGCAGGAACGAAAAACAAATCTAAAATTGAATTTGGTTTATAACACGTAGTAAACATAACCTCTACTTATTTACTCACATATATCTCTAAGTTCATTGTTTGAGCGATCATCGTGTCTCTTTGAGGCATCGATTTGTATCTCTTCCTTTTCTTCGGAATGAACATAAATATCATACGAAACGGATGTCTCCGGCCCGTTAATGCGTTTCTGGTCGATCGGCATCTTAACCTAACTTACCGTTCAGTTACTCGAACGGTGAAAACAAGAACAAGCAACAAACGCTAACAAAAGATTTGTTCGCGTTATTTGCACTTTTGACACTTTTATATTTAACGCCCATTGCATTGGCTTCTTTTTAAAAGGAGAGCTCTCATTGGATTTCGCTCATTCGCGTCTAGTGTGCAACGGACATTAAGCCCATTCTACAATTGCGTAAACGTGGTTGTAAGTGGTTGTATGTGATTACGACACCAATCAGAATAAAGCAATCAGTAAATAAAACATTCGGATTGGTTGACTCTTACGATCACGACTTACGCAATTGTAGAATGGGCTTTAGTCCCGATCTACAATGTGTAGTAAGTTTAAGCCTTAAGAAATTGACCAATCACAATCGATTAGTCCCGATCTACAATAGATATAGTAAGCTTTAAGTAAGCTTAAGAAATTGACCAATCACAGTGGAATTATAGAGGAATAATCAATTGTGATTAATTTCTTACGGCTTAAAGCTTACTACACCTATTGTAGATCGGGTCTCAGAAGTGCAAGTAACGTGAACAAACCCAAAATCTGTCCTTTTTAGCTGCATTCGGTATTTCTTTCAAGATGCAGAGAATACGACATTGAAAAGAATAGACTCACAAGTGCAGTCACTGGCGCCATCGCTGGTTGTTACGCGTGTTATCGTTCAAACGTTCTTCCAGAACAAGTAACCATGCACAGACCGATTGCCAGAGGTTAGTTACGTTTATATATTTCCTCAAAAAATTAGAAGATAATATAACTTGTGTTCTTCAATCAGTTTCAAGTTTCTCAATTGACTTCAATATCGAATTTGTGTAGAGACCAACACGACAATCGCCAGTATCGGTTATGGCACACAAATTTCCACAGCTATCACAAATCCTGACAGATCGAATCTGAGAACCAATCGGAATTGTTATTTTAGGTCTGAGTAATCGGGTTGTAAATGAAAATCGAAATCTTAGCCGCAACGCGGAAATAATTTGGCCGAAATCAAGTAAGTCGTTGCGGACTGAAAGAGAAAAAGAGACAGCGAGAGTGAGTGAGTGAGTGAGATACGAAAAAAGCAACAGAAAAGACACGGAGCGCGCGCGGCCGCATCAAACCGCGCGTCGTTCATATATGGTCCTATTCTCATTCCCGCTCGATGCCGGACGCATGCGCGAGCGCGGTTCAAGCTCGCGGGAGCCGAGCGCACCCGAGCGGCGCCGAAGATAGCCGACGCGAGCGCGACGTTCTCGAACTTTTCCGCCGGACCTCGTTCCGCGGCATTCGCGTCCGAGCGGTCCGTGTGAGCGAAGGTGGTCGCGTGCTCTCGGCGTAATCCGTCTCGTCCGTGACTGCGCGCGTGTGGGTGACGTGCGCTCGCGCGCGCGCGCAAAGTAAAAAGAGAATTGGAGTCTCGTAGACCCCGACGGCGGTTTTTCGTCGCACTTTTGCGCTCGCGTGCAGCAGCGGCGAACAGATCGCTCACGGAGAAGTCATGTTCGCCGAGCATTGAACCGGAGCGTCTCGGCCACGAGAACGAACAAGTGACGACCGTGTGTGCGTGCACGACGTCGGATCTCTCTCTTTCTCTTTCTGTTTCGGTGACTTTGTCGTCCGTCGTATCCGGTGAAAGAAAGATCGGCCAACATGTACTCCGACGGAGGCCACGAAGTGGACGGCAGCTGGGTGCTGCGTGTTTACGTCACGGACCTGCAGGTCGAGAGAAGTTTGCGCGTGAAGGGCGAGCTGCACATTGGCGGTGTCATGCTGCGTCTCGTGGAGGATCTGGGTGAGTGAATATCTGTATTTGTCAGCCTCTCGTGGGCCTTCCTCGCTCCGTTTCCTTTCATCCTCCGTTTTGCTTCTTTCCGTCGCCATTTCTTGCCGTCTCTCTCTCTCCGCCGGTTATCTCTCTACTTCTCTCTCTTTCTCTCTCTTTCTTTCTCCATCTGGAGAATTCTGCCGCGCGTCTCCGTGGTTCTAAGCGCGTATTCTCGTTAACATACGACCACTTGACTTTCATCTCGCGTTTACACGAAACGGATCTCTGTATCCGATGCGCGGGAGGAACCGTTGCATTCATTAAAGCGCCGCCGGATTGCAGTAAGAATCGTCGACCAGTGCGAGTAATGGCGGCGACGCGGGTTTCAATTTTGAATTTTCGAACCGGCAACATGGCGGCTGCGTCGTACGCTCATTTAGTTTGCGACAGACTTGTAAACATAGCTATATGTCAAAAAGACATTATGCGTATTATAAACATAGCTGTGTCAGAAAAAGAAAAGTCCGTAGATTAAAACTCATTTTTATAAACAATATTTTATTACATAAATAACATTATATTATACAAATTATTTTTCGACAGAGAGAGACAGAGAGAGAGAGAGAGAGAGAGAGAGAGAGAGAGA